TGCAGCTTACAGATGGCTTGTTTCAACTGCATGGAGAGCTCCTTTGACCGCATGTTGTCTGCTCACAGAAAAATCTTCCAAATGCAAGCATCACACCACAAATAAACTCCAGGTCTTTCATCTGCTTAATTGACATTAATGACATAATGAAAGAATTGCCCACACCTGCATATGAAATAGCCTTTGAGTCAATTGTCAAATTACTTTTGGTTCTTTTAAAAAGAGGTGGGACATATTAGGAGCTGAAACTCCTAAACCCTTCATCCAATTAAAATGTGGATACCCTCAAATGAAACCTGAGAGTCTACACATTATGTCCATGTTCATTATATAACTATAGATGGAATATGTTTCAGTAAACGGGTAAAAAAACAAAAAAAGTAACTTGTGACAGTGTCCAAATATACATGGACCACTCTGTGTATTTCACATGTATCTAGAGTGGCAGGGAGGATAAATAAGCGTCTTCAAAAACTTCCATGACTGCTCCTATAAAAAGATGAAAAATGCACTTGATTTAAATCTGGTTGCTTATTTTATTTTCTCCCTAGAAGTGTGACACTGGACAAAGAAGCTTGTTTGGTTTGTGCACAAAATTTAAATCAGGTAAGTTTACTCCCTTTTTGCACATTTTTACTCTATCCTTGCGGCCAATGTTATAGCCTCTCTGGATTTTAAGTAATTTTGGATTCTTCTCTTTCTAAACCTTAAAAATTCTCAAAACGATAATTTACCGTTTGATGGTCTGAATCTGTTCTATCATCTGCTGGCCCAGCAGACCCATGATGAGCCTAGAAGACAGGACTTTGTTATAAACATCTTCATATGATCATTTTAATATTGTGAAAGAAAAAGCATTTCATTTACTGTAAGGCTCACGTATACGGGTGCTACTTCAGTATCAGATGAGCGGAAATATATAATCTCGACATGAATGTGACGTTACAGTCTTTCTGATCATTAACTGTAAAATAACATTTAATTTTTTTCCCCTAAGGTTTAATAATTCTTATTATATAGTATTAGTATTAAGGTATTTTACCTTTTTATGGTTTGAATCTCCTCTTCTGTTACCTTTTGGCTCAGTAGAGCCATGACCAGCCTGAGAGACACAAAA